GGTCCCCAGGCTCTCCCTCTGACTGCCGGGCCCTGAGCCCCTGCCCCATCTCGTCCTGGAGACCAGGCTCCTGGGACCTTGAGCCTTTGCTGCGTTAGCTGCTATTTCTTATTTTTGGTTTCATTTTGTCCTCTCAGGCTCCCTCTGGATTCAAGGCCTGAGAGCAGGGATGCTGCCTGGTGTTTCTCAGTAGCTGGGGGTGGGGGCGGTGGGGTGGGAGTAACAGTAATAGTAGCAGTAGCGATAATATTACAGCAAAGCTCACATTTATGGAGCGTTGTATGCCAGGCCCTGTACGCAGTGCTTTACCCACGTCGCCCTATTTACCTTTCCGGAAATGTTATGAAATAGGTAATTATGTCCACTTTACACATGAGAAAACTAAGGCACAGAAAGTTTCCATAACTCATTCAAGCCCACTTAGTTTCGAACTCCTGGCCTCAAGTGATTCTCCTACCTCGGCCTCCCAAAGTGCTAGGATTACGGGCATGAGCCACCACTCCCGGAAGGGAATAGCTGAGTCAGGGTACAAGTTTAGGTCTGTCACCCGTACAGCCTAACCAATGTCAGCTGAATAGATGCTGAATTCCCGCAGGCAGGTGCCCTGGTGTTTCCGCTAAGGAGACTGAGCTGAGCGGGGGATGGTCTGGACAAGGCACAGGTACGTGGCTGCCAGGGCACATGGGGTCAGGGGTCAGGGTCCATGGCCCCTCTGAGTGGGACCTTCATAAATTGCTCCCTCTTTAGGTTGTTCTGGGAATTGGTGGCATTTTCCCAGACGGCAGGTAGGCGGGTGCTCTCTCCTGCTACTATCCCTGCTCTGTCCCATCCAGTCCCTCCATGCCAGCAGCTGGGTCTGAGCACACTGGGTCCCTACAGGGCTCCTCAAACCAGCCTGGGCCAGAAGGCAGGAGGCTGCGGGCTGAGGCTGCCCACAGGTTGTCGGGGGCTCACAGCCAACCCTGGAAGATGATACCCAGCCTCTGGCAGAGGGGGCCCTGGCGCCTGGGGAGGCCGAGCGGGAAGCAGGGTCCCTAGGGAAGCTGCAGCACTTGGCTGGTCTCAAGAACATCAGCTGGAAAGTCATCAAGGCAAAAGTGGCTTTATTCCCTCTTAGCTTGTCTTAATTAATTAATTGAGCAAACATTTCTTAAGCACCTACTACTTTGTGCCAGGCACCAGGCTAAGTGCTCGGAGAAGAGGCAGACAGGATGGCTGAGCCTTGCCCTCTGGGGGCAGACTCTGGGCAGACAGCGGGCAGGTGGGAAAGGACTCAGGAAAGACTTGCCCCAGGAGCACCGCGTCTGTGCCAGAGGGGCTTCCGTGAAGGTAGGAACGTGGGACCCAGAGGCCCAGAAAGGGAGTCGAGGGCACTGCGATCTTGCCAGTGGTACTGTGGCTGGGAGCATGGCATTTTCTGCTCCAGACAGCCTCTGAAGATGGCCCTGGACACCTGGGAACATGGTTCAGGGCCAGTGTGAACACATGGCTGCTGGGCAGAGCTGCTTGGTCCCGGTTGTCACTACAAATTGGATCAAGATCAAATGCCCGAGGCCATACTCTCTTTTTTCCTCCATCTTTGTTTGTTTTTTGGTTTGTTTTGCCATTTACTATTTTTTAAAATAACCTTTTTATTTTAGAACAGCTTTAGATTTACAGAACATCAGGAAGACCTCCCTTCCTTTTTGAAAACTCAACACCTCTCCTACGTGGGTGCAGTGCTGGCTGCTGCACCTTCCCCCGCCCCCTCAGTGCCTTCTCCCAGGAAGCCTCCTCCCACCTGGCCCAGGAGCACCCCCTTCTCTCCAACAGCATCCCCCTCTGCCCTTCGCTGGGCCTATTTACCCATCTCCTAATGCGCAGAGCGGCATGAGGGACGAGGGCAGCTGGCGTGGCAGGGATCAGGGGTGGTGGGCCCTGGACCAGCCCTTTGAGAGGTGGTCAGGGCTCAGGCCTGGCCTCTGGGTGGGTTCTCGCCTCCTCGCCTCCCCTCTGTGCGGCTGGGCCTGGGGCTGCAGTGGGCAGGGAGGATGGAGTGGAAGAAGAGGGAGGGGAGGAGAAAGGAGGAGAAAGGGAGGAGAAAGGGAGGCGTTCACTAGCCCGCATGGAGTTGTGCTTCGTTTGCTCTTAGCGCCTCTGCTAATAATGGCAGCAGTGTCAGGTTGCCCAGATGCCCTCGCCTCCATTGTCCCTAATCCTCACCCTGGCCCTCAAGGTGGTCATTATTAGCTCCATTCTGATGAGGAAACCAAGGCTCAGGGAGGTCACATACTACTGGCTCAAGGTCATACAGATAAAATGGGCAAAGCTAGGATTCAACCTTGGGCTTTCCTTTCATCTTCCAAAGTCCAGGCACTTTCAGGTTTATGATCTTTCAGGGTGTCCCATGGACCACCCACTTTGTCAGTAGAGCAGAGAAAGTGTGTGCAGCAGGCCAGTGTCACAAGGCCACCACACAGCCCCCAGGGAAGCACCTGGCCTTGTGGTCTTGGTGCCCTGTGTACTGCAAGAGGATGGAGGATGCCGTCCTGGCCGAAGACCCTCTCCTGAGCCCCTCCCTGCTTTCTGCCAGGCTGACAGCCCAAAGGTTGGGGGGCCAGTCCTTTCTGTCCTAGGGAGCAGCTCTTGGAGGTTCTCTTTGGAGACTACTGGGATGTGCCACTGTGGCCCTGAGCCAGATGGAGCAGGAAGTGGGAGGTGGAAGCTGGAGGGCAGAGGTCAGGGCCCCAAGGGCCTGCAGATGTGGGGTCCCCACCCCCAACACGTGGAGGGCATGGTTGGGTGCCTGCTCCCTTCTATCTCTTTGGAACTATCCCTCCTGCAAGAACCCTAATCAAGGGTGGGCCTAGGCAGCCACTTTGTACCGTGTCCCCCTGGCCCAGGCCAGAGCTAAGAGGACTCCAGCTGTTGGCAGGGCTGAGCCTCTCAGGTTCTTCTTCCAGGAATTGTGATGAGGGCTGAGGGCTGGGTCCACTTTGGAGCAGAGCTGCAGGATTACAGAGTTGGGTCCTAGCTGGGACTAGGGCAAGCCAAAGCCACATGCAGGTCAGTTACAGGGGAAGAAAAGCCAGAGAATAACCAAGCAAAGCAGGGACAGGAGAATTCAGCCCAAGAGACCGGAAGAGAGAGGCCTGGGCTCTGACAGCTGACCTCTGACATTGGCCATGTGGTGCTATTTCCCTTCCAAAGTCCCCTTTACATGCTCTGTTCCACAGGGGCACTGTGCCCTGGCTAAGCTCCAGCCACTCCAGATGGATGAGCCCAGTCCCCAAGTGCTGTGTTGTGGGGTGCCCAGCATGGCAAGCATCGCAGCAGAAGAGCCCTGGCTGGTTTCAGGAGACCCACATGGACACAGCACTCTATAGTGTAAAGGAGAATTCCTGCTGAACCCTCACAGCAGCCCCATGCCACCTGTTGGGCATGAGTGATGTCCATTTGACAGTTGTGGGTTGGCTGGGGACATGGAAGTCTGGGAAGACTGGGCATCTCCAGAGCTGGACCTGGGACCTGGGTCTCTTAATTTCAGGCCTGCTGCTTTTCCCACCACCCAAACTCTCTGAGTCCTCTCTGAGTCCATCCTTTGCTAGGTAGCTGGGTGACCTTGGGGATAGAAACACAATGTGTGAAGTGCCTAGCACAAAAGCTGGCACGTGGTGGGTCTTGGGCGGTAGGAGCTGTTATTAATATTAATATATACATATTTTGAAGCACAGCTCTGTGCTGCCACTTGCCACTCAGAAACCTTCCTTAGTTCCCTGAGTCTACACAATACAGTCTGGGGCTTTCCTGGCCCAGGATGTAGGCTGTCCCTCCACCACCTGACCCGCCCCCGCCTGGCCTGCCCCCTCATGGTTCCTCCAACATTGATGGTTTCCTCTGTTCCAAGGGTTGCCTGCACCTGTCCCATGCCTCACCTCTGCGCATTTCCACATGTGGCTGCTGCTGCCTAGAGTTCACTCCCTTATCTCTTCTGGCCTCCAAGGGCAGAGCCAGGGCTACCTCCTCGGTGCTCCTTCCTTGTCCCCAGGCTGGGAGAACGTCACCTTCTTCTGCCCTGACTACTGTCCACTAGGTGTTAGGTCTTGCTCGGTGGATTACTCTCCCACTGGCCTGCCTTGCCCAGAGCCTGCAGAGAAGCCCAGCAGAGGCACGAAGTCGCTCAGTCCTGATGGTGGGTCAGGAGTGGTCGGGAGGCCTCAGGGCATGCGTGGCCCCATCTCCATCACCTGCTCCCCACTCTCCTTTCTGGTGGTGGCTAGTGGCCCAGACAGCTCTGGGCTGGCAGGGAATTTGAAAACAGATGCCAGGAGATGTGAAAGGAGGCTTTTCTTAGGCTCAGCACCCTCCCCAGGACTCAGAAGCTCAGATGGTGTAGGTTGGCATAGTGCCCAGGAAGAGAGGGACTCCAGGCAACAGGGACTTCAGCAGCTGCTGGGACCTTCTCTCCCTCTGAGCCAGCCTGCAGACGTGGGGTCCCTGCCCCCAACACTCACATGTGTGTGCACACTCCTACACACACACACACAGACACACACTCCAACACCCAGCCTGTCCCTCACTGTGGCTTCTTGGCATGACTGTGTCCGCCATCCAGATGGACTGCAGAGGGCACAGACTGGGGAAGCAGGGAGGTCTGGGACTCCGCAAGGGGAGAGGGAGCCCTTCCCGGGACCTGGCCTCTGGGTCCCTGCTGTTTCCTCAAGTTCCAGGCCCATGGGGATCTAAAGAAGCCACCAAATCCAGCCCAAGGGGACACAGGCTCTTCTGGGAGGCTACAATTCCACCACTCTCCATGGAAACACACTTCACTCAATCCTGCACCCTATCGGAAATGCTCCTGTGGAATGAGATGACCCAGGCCTCAACCATTCTGACTCAGCTTATCCTCGGTGGAGACAGCAAACAGCTGTACAGCTGTCCTCATGCTTGGGGACACTGCCCTTCACACAGAGACAGGGAGGCACTCGCCCATCCCCAGCCTGCTTCTGAGGCTAACTCACCCGGGCCGGCTGCTCTCTTCTGACCTCTGATTTCCCAGCCTTTCCAGTGGCCTCTGCCACCCCTCTGTCTTCTGGACTCTCTGCGAGCACCACTGTTCACAGCCCAGAATTGGCACGAGATCGGCCAGGCTGGGGTTTAAGAGTACGATGACTTCCTGGCTCCTGTGGCCTATAGAGGCTGCCTATTTATGCATTGGTGTCCTGAGCTTGCTTTTTATGGTGCCAAGAGCTCCAAGCTGGGCAGCGTCCCCAGGACCCAGCTCTCTCCAGCTGCCACTTGCAGTGTTGTCCTTTGCTCCAGCCCCAACCCCGTTGTGGGATCTGGGTGAGCTGGCTCTCTCTGCACTTGACTTTATTCAAATGATTAAATGCCTCTGTCACTGCTCCTCTTTTCCAATTCAAAACAATACTAGCTAACATTTATAGTGCCCTTACTATGTGCCAGGAACTGCTGTAAGCAACCTAATATATGTACCGAGTTTAATCCTCAACCAACCCTATCAGTAGGTACTGTCATTATTCCCATTTAAAGATGCAGGAACTGAGCCACAGAGAGGTCAAGCACTTGCTCAAGGTCACACAGCAAGTAAATGCAGAGCTGGGCTCTGCCCCATACTGTCTCCAGCTGGCTCTGTGCTCCCCCCACCCAAGGCAGCCTGGAGCAGAGGTCAGCCAGACCGAGGATGTGGAAGGGGGGTCTCAGAGCGGGTGGGGAGGGGATGACTGGCAGAGAGGAGACTGTCCCAGGCTGGGAGTCATTCCTCCAGGGAGAAAAAAGTGACTTGGAGGGGACTCAGTGGAGAGTGGGGGGCAGCGTGTTTGTATGGGAGTTAATCATACTGTTCCTTGATGTTTGTGCATCATTTCAGTTTATTGCTCACTTTAGAGTGTTTTGTCAGTGAGTGAGGCAAGTGTCACTATCACTCATCCCATTGAGAAATGACGACAAGAAGCTGGGACAGGTGAGGTGACTTGGTCAAGGTCGCGCAACGTGGCATCATAGGCAGGAGGGAGACAGGGGAGTCTCCCAGGGGTCTTCTGGTACCAGCCCACCCGCTTGCTGCAGGCGGGACCCAGGAGCCACGCGGTCCGGTCGGGGAATGGCTAATCTGCCACTCAGTGGGGGACCTTGAGAGGGGGGCACATCTCGCCCTGCTCCGAATTGGCTCAGGCACCTGGGAAGGGCAGCCGGCCAGCCACGTGCCAGTGTTACTTTAAAAAGAAACCAGGGAAGAATGAGGCTTAAAAACAACCCCAGGGACAACGTGTGAGGAGCTAATTACAACCACAGCCCCTGTCAGAGCTTGGGGGAGTGGCCGGGCCTCCGGTCTGGGTGTTGAGTCCCCTCTGCTCATCTCTCCCCATTGGGAGTCAGGTGCCAGGCCCTCCCAGAGCAGCTGGGGACAGCCAGGGCCTCAGATCCCGGGGTCAGAGCTCAGAGCTCGGGGCGGGGACCAGCTCACAGACCAGGGAAAGGAGGGAGCACCCAGGCTGGGCAGGTCAGGGCCAGGCCTGGCAGAGGGCTCAGGTCCCCCCAGGGATTCTCCGGCTTCCGCTGACTTCCCACTGGACTCACTCTGGCTCCAAAAGGGATTTTGAGCTCTCGAGTCCCTCCCCTCTTCTCTGAAGTCTGTGCTGGTGGCAGCCAGGCTGCTGGTTTTGCCAGTTACTGCTCCCTGATTGGGACTTCTCCCCCCGCCCGGCCTCTCACCTACACCCTTCTCTGAAGAAGCTCTGAGGCCCTTCTCGCCCTGTCGGTGAGGATGCACCACCCTGGCTGCCTCCACAACCTCCCTGGGCCCTCAGTGCCGAGCCGGGCTGGGTGGAGCCCAGGCCCAGGTTCCCCCACAGAGCCCAGGCCCAGGTTCCCCCAAGGCTCTTGGAAACGCTTGCGGCCCCCCACCTTTGGCAGAGGGTATGGGAACATCTTGCAGTGACAGGGGAGGGAGGGACGTGGGGCCCAGCGGAGGATGCAGCCGAGGACACAGCGAGGACAGACGTGCAGGATCAAAGAGAAAAAGCAGAGCTTTCCCGGAGGAGGGAGGCAGAGGCCAAGACTGCTGGAAGCTGACAGAAATGATCAAAGGACAAGGATGGATGAGGTGGGAGGGGACATGGGAAGCAGAAGGGAAGGCAGGGGGTGCTGGCGCTGAGGGGGAGTCAGACAGACCATCACCTTGCTGGGCCTGGGGGCTCATTTGCTTAATGGCTGTAATGATAACCACCTCAAGGCCCCTGAGGAGGAGGCTGCAGAGTGTCTATGAAAAGGCCTGAAAATAGAGTGAGCTGCTGCGAGCTGTCCCCTGCCCCTCCTCTGGCCCCTCTGCCCCACCTCAGGCTGACTGGCACCCCCCACCTCCCCCCACCTCCCCTTGCTCCTGAGCAAGCTGCCGAATGTCTCACTGCTCTCAGGGTCAAGGTCTGCAGTGATCTCCGTGTTGCCGAGTCCACTGGTAGTTCTCTGTGGCCATCTGATTTGATCTCCCTGCAGCAGCTGGCACCGTTGAGCTCCTGGCCTCTGGGACGCCACAGGCCTGGGTGTCCTTCCCATCCCCAGGCAGCCCCTTCCCTTCTGGAGCTCCCAGTGTGGGAGGAAGGGCTGGGCGCTCCGCCCACCAGCGCTACTCCCTCCCCAGCTGCTGGTGATCCGTGTGGTTTTCAGTACTGGTTCTACCTGATAGCTCCTGAGTTTCAGCTCGGCTTTGACGTCCCCCAGCTGCAGACGTGTCTGTTTAACTGCCTCCGTGGGTTCGTAATGAGCATCTCAACATTGACCTGGACATCTAGAACAGAAGTCTTGACTCTACCAAACCTGTGGCTCTTTGTTTTTTTGTTTTTTTTACCCATCTATAAATGCTCATCCTCCACCCTACTGCTCAGGTCAAAGACCGAGGACCATCCTTGGTTATTCTTTTCCCTCCACTCCCCACGCCCTCTCCGTACCCCCTCTCCCCCAGCACACACACCCTACCCACTGCCAGCAGGTTCTGGCTCCTCTGTCTCTAAAACTGCTCGGCTGCCCCTGTGCTCTGCCTCCATGGCTGCGTCCCTGGTCCAGCCACCTCCATTCTCCTTCCAGGGGGGCTGACCTGAGCCTGGTGTCCCCCTTGCACTACCACCATCTGACCCCCACAGGGCGGCCAAGTGATCCTGTAAGTCATGTCACATCTCAGCCCTGTTTAGAACCTTCCAGTGACTTCCATCATACTTGGAATAAAATCCAAACTCTTGACCACTGTCTCTAAGGCTCTGCAGGGTCCAGCCCATCCAAGTTTCTGCCTCTTCATTCAGCCACAGTGCTCCTGCCCTCAACCCCCACTCCGGCCTACCGGGACTTTGCATTTGCTGTTCCCCTGCCAGGAAGGCTCTTCCCCACCCCTCTGCATCCCACAGGCCCGTCCTGGGAGGGCAGCTTCCCCTCTCAACCACTTCCCTTTGCTTTCTTGTCTCCCTGGCACTGATCACCATCGGGATTATGTTGTTTATTTGTCTCAAGGTAATTTAGTTTATTGACTCTCTACTTCCTCTGAAATGTAGGCACCCTGTGAACAGGGGCTGCCTGGTCTCCCTGCCGGGTCCCTGGGGCCTGGATGGTGGCTGATGCTGGTAGACACTCAGAAACACGAGTGGATGCAGGAACGACTGGGAGGGTGCCTGAGGGGCGTGCAAAGAGTCAGGGACCTGGTTTGAGGATTGCCCTGTCACTGAACTGCTGTGTGGTGAGGACAGGCCTCCCCTTCTCCCCCGGTACCTCCGGGTCTTATCCCCCCATCTGGAAGAGAGAAGGGTTAGGCTGCACCAGTGGTTCTCAAGAATCTGAAGGACTCTGGGAATTGCTGTAATGCTGCCCACCTGAGCCCCTGTTCTGCAAGCGTGGGCCAGCAGCACCCCAAAGTCATCCCATCCTGGCCAAGGCTGAGAGAGATGCCCACGTAGGCTCTGCAACGGGTAATCATGCAATGCCCCACAAACATTTGGGAGTATCAAACCATTGTGAGGACTCACAGGGTGGTCACTGGTCTAGGGGGGATGTTGAAGGCTGGTCCATGACCAGGACATCAGCCCCAGGACCCTGGAGGCCTCAGAGCAAGCCCAGGCGCTGGGTGGCAGGACTGGCTGTTGGTACACTCATTCCAAGCCAGCTTGGGTCCAAGAGGGCTCTGTCTGCAGCCTCACTCCTGGCCACCCCAGGAAGGCGCTGGCTGGAGTCAGCCTGCCCTGGGCACCGGCCCTCCCTCCCTCCCTGCATCCCAGGGGCTACTGTGGGAGCCACCAGCAAGAGCAGCAGCCCTTTCCGGGTGGGAGGCTCCTGCATTCCAGCCATCCCAGGGGCTGGGGCAGTGGACTCGCCTGCTGATAAGTGGGACCTCGGCCACAGTCAAAAACGCTCTCTCCAGAAAGGGGTGACTCGGAGGTCCTGGACAGAGCTCTATTCTTGGGACTGGCCACAGAGGAAGTCCCTCCAGGGCTTGGACAGCATGGGGTGAAGTGGGGACAAGAGCATAATCTTGGATAGTGGCTTCTTGGGAGGGGTGGGCCAGGCTAGGTCCAACACAGCCTGTCCTAACTGGAAGGGGCTTTAGGCACCACCAGCCCAATACCTCACAGACAAAGCTGGGGCTGTGCAACTTGCCCCAGGTTTCACAGCCAGGCGGGAGCAGAGACGCAGTGGAGGGAACCGGACCCCCCAGCCCCCACCTGCACTAATTGAAGCTGCCTCTATGAATCTACCAGCCAGCCCCTAGGGAGCGGGGAGGGGACAGCAGGGCCTCCTTGGTGCCCAGGAGGAGGCGGACGGGACTCTGGGGCATTGAGTCCTGGCAACCAAGAAAGGAGGGCTGCCCAAGTTTGGCTCCAGGCTCTCTCCCTCTGTGGCCCCACCTGGAGGTGGTCCAAGGCCAAGAGGGGGCCACAGAGGCTCTTGCTCTGTCTGACCCTCACAGTTGAAAACCCCTGACTCAGAGTCATGCTGAGAACAGGGCCACACTGGCTCGGCCTGGGCAAAACCCCCTAGTTCCTAGCTGAGGGAGCCTCCCTGGGCGGCCCCCTTCTCTGGAGTTGTTGGAGAGCAGGCTGAGAGCTAAAGCCATGAAGGGAGAGACACAGCCTGTCCCCAGGACCCCCTCTGAGACCCTCTCAGTCCCCTCGTCCTTGGTGGGGCAGTGAGACCATGACCTTGTCCTGGGGCTGCCCACTGACTCCTGCCGTCTTTGCCATCTGGCTCATCCGTGAGAGAGCGAAGATTGCTCCTCAGCCACCCTGAATGTTTCTGAGATACCGAGGAAACCTAGAAAGAAAATGCTCGTAGCTGGTGAGTGGTCCAGCGTCCCAAGTATAGAATACTGATCCCAGCAAGCTCTCTTCGTCCCTGCCACTCCCAGTCGCAGCTGTGTAGTCTGAGCACCTAAGGAGGCTTTAAAACTGGAAGCTTCCTGGGCTTCCCGCAGCCCTAGTGGACTGACTCCGGGGAGCAGAGCCCTCGCGGCCACTACTCTGGTTCCAAACAGCTGCTGCTACTGGGACGCCTTCCTATGCAGTGCACAAGGGCCCTCTTACCTGCCCCTTCTCCTCTACTCGGGGGAGCAGGTGGGCTGCCTGTCACCCAAACAAGTCCTCCTCTTCACCCAATGGCCACTCTTAAGAACGGCCCCTTCGTCCCCAACCTAGTCTCTGATTCCCATTCTGTTCACTGGGATGGTGTCAACAAACACATGGAGCTAAGGACACTCTGTGACAACCACCCCCTAACATTGCCCTTTCTGCCCTCCGTAGGCTGGCGTGCATCTCTGCGATGGCCCCAACAGCCACACCACCTTCAGCCACTGTCCAAGGGGCAAGGGCACTTGTGTTCTGGGGGGAAGAGCTCAGTTTTAAGGTTGGAAAGTCTGGATTTGACCCCAGCTCCCACATCTACTGGCTCTGGATCGCAGGAAGTGACCTTATCTCTCAAGGCCAGTTTCTTCCTTAACAAAGTGGGAAGTTGATCGAGGCTCAGAAGAGATACTACATGAGCGAGTGCTGTGCAGGCTTAACACAGCCCTGTTCTGCCACTTGCCAGCAGCGCGACTTTGGGAGCCTTCCCTGAACCCCTGAGCCTCAGCGTCCTCATCTGTCAAATGAGGATTGTAACAGCGCCTCTCTCCCAGAGGCCGTGAGGGCCGGATGAGGCAACGTGTGTAAAGAGCCCAGCCGGAAGTAACCTCCTGATGAACGGCAGCCTCGGCTCGCAACGGTGGAAACAGGCTCCGTGAGGAGTGGCCGTTCCGCCTTGGGTCTGAGATCTGTGTGCCACGTCCCAGGGCAGATCACTCTGGGGGCGGCTTGCTCCTGCCGGGACTGCCTGTAGCTCACTTGCCCCCCAGCCCCAGGGGAGCTGCTCCATACCGGTGGGAGGACTAGGGAGCGCCTGGCAAGAGCCCCAGGCTGTCCCACCGGGACCTGACAGTTGGGATCTCTGCAGAAAGCCCCCCAGACAGTCCTAGGGCTGGCGGGCTGGAATGCGACTCTCAAGATGTTTCTGGGATGGCTATTTCTGAATCGGAGCTGTGGTCAGGAGAGGCCCTGCACATTCCTGATGAGGGACATTAAGTTCATGCCAAGCCGTGTAGTCTCAAGCAGAGACAGAGGAGGGAAGTTGGGATCCAGAAATGCGGACCTGGAGGAGGACGTGTGGCAGGGGAGGGGGTCTGAGAGCAGGGGCCTGGGGGCTTCCATCCACAGTGTTGGCTGACTGCATCCCCTCCTCCCGCTAGGTGCCGTCCCAGGGGCTCCTGACACCCCTAAGATTGTGCTTGGTCTGGGCTCCAGAGCCCACCTTTGGCCCAGAAAAGGAAAGGTGGAGGGTGAGGATGTGAAAA